GAGAAACATGCAAAACGGGACGGAAAACATAAAATTTTGCAATAATCTTGCGCCACCCTTGCACAAAACGACGATAATTTTTCTAATTTCATAGACAACAGAAGCCTGTATTTTTTCTACATAACCGCCCCCCCTGACTTTAAAGCTGGATCCGCCCCTGCACGGCCTCCTACAAAAAAGTTGTCGAGGCGTCAATTCAAGAGAATTTATTTGCCTGCAAAATGCATAGCGAGTTTTGGAAATTGGATTTGCATTAAGCGAGTTCTGGACAAAMCAAGACAGACAGAACCTCAAAAATTAACTCGATTTTTGCCMATTTTCATTTGCCTCTGGACTATTAGCTTTTGCTTCGACAAAAAAATAGTCGAGGCGTCAAATCAAAATAATTTATTTGTCATTGRATCTAATAATWATTAGAKTYGCAKTAATTCGATTTTTGCCAATTTTCATTGGCTCGTGGWCTATAAGGATTTGCTTCTACAAAAAAAAAACAGACGACGCGTCACTTGAAGAGAAATTCAAGAAATTCACTTCAAGGCTGTAAATTTTCTTTGTCACAATAGGGTTGGTACCAGATATAGTTTTCAATCCCCACGGCTTTCCCTCCCGAATGACGATTGCCATGATGATTGAGCTGATGGCTGGAAAATCAGCGGCTATTCACGGCCTGGTGCATGATGCCACTCCTTTTAAATTTTCAGAAGATGACACCGCTGTAGATTATTTCGGTAGGCTCCTCGAGCTAGGTAAGTTAAGGGTGCTAACGCTTTATAAAACTAGCTTTTTATACACAAAAATGTGAACTTCTCAGGAGGCTACGACTATTATGGGACGGAAACAATGTACTCTGGTATAGACGGAAGAGAGATGACAGCGCAAATATTCTTTGGAGTCGTCCATTATCAACGTTTACGACACATGGTGTCGGATAAATGGCAGGTAATTTTACCTCAATTTCCGCGATATACAGTTATTAAAAATGTGATATTTTCAAGTAGGTAAGATCGACAGGACCCATGGATATAGTGACTCGGCAGCCCATTAAAGGACGTAAAAAGGGCGGTGGCGTACGCTTTGGTGAAATGGAGAGAGACGCCTTGATCAGCCACGGTGCCACGTTCCTCTTGCAAGACAGATTATTGAACTGTTCGGACAAATGCCTTGTGAGCAGACATGAGTTTGCACTGTGCAAAATCGAGGCTTAATCTCACTTTAAATTTTAGGCTAACATATGCACGACTTGCGGCTCGCTGCTGGCTCCCATCAGTTTAGTAACAAGGAAAGCGGACAAGCCCCATCTGACCGAAACAAAGGATATATGCAAAATGTGCGGAGACAAGATGAATGTTTTGCGAATTCAAATACCGTATATTTTCAAGTTTTTTGTTACACAGCTCGCTTCATGCAACATACACGTGAAAATTGGCTGCCAACCGATTTGAATCGTTAAAGTTAAGTAAAAATTGCATAAATGTTTCGAGGGACAAGAAACAATTGGAATAAATAACTGATTTTATTCGTACAGTTAACCTTAAAAGAAATAATTTACCGTTTAAATACCTACAATTAAAATTGGCTAATTTGTACAGACAACGCAAGGCGACGACATGATGAAACTGTCGCTTGTACACATTGAACTATATACTACTAGCTGTTGGTGTCATGAAAGGAAAATCTGCAATGAACTGGAGAGCTTTGGACTATGGGATACGACTCAGTCCCATCTAATAGAACAAAACGATATGGTGTAGATGGAATTTGGCATTGCGACTCCCTGGATGATGTTAGCTAACGAGTTTACTTCGTTGCCGATTCGAGGTAGGCGATCAGGTCGCCTCGCTCATTGGGCTTTTTAAGACCGGCGAATACCATCTTCGTTCCAGGGATGTACTTTTTAGGGTTTTCAAGGTATTCGAAGAGAGTGTCTTTTCCCCATGTGATACCTGCAAAGAGAAGATTTAGTAACAACACGGGTCAAGTGAAGAATGCCGAAAATGTTACCTTTAGCCTTGTTAGCGTCGGTGTAGGAGAAGCCCGCAGCCTGGCCCGTTTTCCTGCCGAATAGTCCGTGCAGGTTTGGTCCGGTTTTGTGTTTACCACCTGCTTCCACAGTGTGGCATTGAGCGCATCTCTGCACGAAGATTTTCTTGCCCTTTTCTACGTCACCAGCGGGCACACCCATGGTCAGTTAGGGTAAAGCTGAAACAATTTTTTTGTTTTTTACTTGCAGTCTGAGAAAACATGCTGTTTTCATTCGCGTGAAAACGTGTCCACGTGATGCTATGAATGCGAATATCTAAGATGAGTCAATTCGTAAATTAGTTTTAGGTTATTTGTCGTTTGGGCATGAAACCACGTGTTAAACAACTTTGATCGCAATAATCGTTCTCTTATGTAATGTAAACCATTGATCCAGCCAAATTCGAAGTTCATGATCATAAAACTGTTCTTGGCAAGATAAGTTTCAGGGTCAAAGTGTTAGGTGTGACGAGGAAGGATATTTCCTATACGCCAAGCCATGACGTCATGCACGTGCATTTTTACAAGTTAATTTGGGGTTAAAAATTAACTGAGGGTTTTTTGCCTTAAATAATCCCATCCAGTAACAGCAACAACCACTTGGGCTGGTGACCCTTTTAAATATAGATAAAGAAATTAAAGAGTATACCTATTTAATACCGTTTAAAATTACACAAGATCAAACACTTTTCGAGGTTTCGTGTACAAGAAGGTTACTAGCTAAGCAATGATTGTTACAGAACATACACAAATAGTGTTAGAAAAAATCGATCCCAACGTGTTACATAATATTAGGGAGCACTCATTTTCAAGCTAAGGGGGCTACGAACTGTGCGCCCTTGGCTAGAGGGGGACTTAGGGATCTTTGCGTTTCTTGTCGGTGATGCTAACATTGCCAATTCTCACAAAACTCACCTATTATATCACAGGAAAATGAACTCACGAAAAGCTAAGCTGACTCACACTGGACGTCGAGCTACTAAATGAAATTCGGAATTATTGCAATGTGGATTGCGATTTGGCAATCGACCCCTCACAACATCGATAAGCCAAGCATCGGTCGTCGCTATCAATCCAGCTTTATCTATCTCATGTCATTCGAAGGAAGAGCCACGCAGTTTGCAGTCGCATAATTTCGAAAGTGATTGCTTAATGCAGCCAGGGCACACAAGAAATTCAGTTATTTATTTTTTGTTTCTTCAAACCACTCCAATATCCTGGAGCCATTTTACAATTTTGGTACAACGCCGTAACGTTGGTCCTTTATGTACTGGTATGACGCTCGAACGTGACGTCACTCTAGGCGACCATTATCGACAGACACTAATTCGTTGAGTCCATCCCTCTTGCGAATGTTCTGCGGTCGATTGGCAGATGGTGCGTTCGTCGTCTTAAGACAGTCATAACCTACAAATAAGTAAAGAAGATTGTTTGTTTATTCGATTCCTTCAGTTTGTTTGTTCAAATTGTGTGCAGGCAAAGCAGAAGAACCTGCATTTCAACGATTTCCAGTGCCTGCTCGTACTAGGTGTACTAGGAGCAGAAGCCCTCACCTTCCGAAGTTGATGTGGAAGGCTCAATCAACGACAACCTTGAAGTCCATTTAAATCCCTTTAAACAACCGCAAAATTGTCCCAATTAATCAATCTGGATCAATTTTTCTTAAATTGGAAGCATTATCCGTGATGTGTGTTTGTCATGGGTGCATGCCTATCGCTGGAACGTGAAGACGGCAATGCAAAAAGACGAAGTGAAGAGATTGATAGGCAGCTTGGGGAATTGGCCAAACAGCAGAACAATGTCATCAAAATTCTGCTTTTGGGTAAGTGAAATTATTGTGCCCGGCGTTCGGTAGCTAGTTTAAGTTATGCTGTTTAATTCAGGCGCTGGTGAAAGCGGGAAAAGCACCCTAGTGAAGCAAATGAAAATCATTCATGCTGATGGGTTCACCAGAATGGAGTTGAATAGTTTTAGACCCACAGTGCTGGATAATCTTCTCTCGTCTATGAAGTACGTTCTGGCCGGCATGGGCCTACTCAGAATCAACTTGGAACATCTAAAAAACAAGGTGCCCAGAGTGGAGTGCAAAGCGTTTTTCAGCTAGTAACAAGTTTTCATCGCCTTTCAGGTCCATGCAAAAAACGTATTGGCAGCCGATAGTTGTTTTGATATGAGCTTTACGGTCTTGCCCGATGTAGCTGCTTCTTTACAGGCGCTATGGTCAGACAGAGGAGTACGACTAGCTGTCTCCAGAGGATATGAGTATGAACTGAACGATTCTGCCCTATAGTAAGCCAAACCATTGTGTGATCATTCATCGATGCGAATCAACAGCATTACAATTTTCAGTTTATTTGAAAACATGGAACGAATCTGTGATCCAAAGTATGTGCCAAATCCGACCGATGTGTTGCGGGCCCGAGTTCGCACGCAGGGCATCATCGAAACCCAGTTTCGCATTCAGGACATCATCATCAACATGTATGATGTTGGAGGGCAACGATCTCAACGACGAAAATGGATTTACTGCTTTGACGACGTGAAAGCTGTGCTTTTTGTTATCTCGTTAAGCGGCTTCGATATGACGTTGATCGTAAGTGACTATAAAAAAAGTAGATGTGAGTTTATTTGGCTGGAATTATAGGAAGACCCCAATGTTAATCGGATGGAAGAAAGCTTGAACTTGTTCGGGCAAATCGTGAACAATCCGTTCTTTCGAGATGCGTCGTTCGTGTTGTTCATGAACAAATTTGATCTCTTTAGGGAAAAAATTCTCTATTCCAATCGACACTTAAGACTGTATTTCTCCGACTACAAAGGTACAGGATCACGCAGTGTGCTTGGTTTGGACAACTTCACCAAGTTCTGTTTGTAGGGCCAGACAGGGACGTGGACAGGGGCGCTCTTTTCATTCAACACAAGTTTATCCTTAAAAATGGAGATTCCAGAAAAGTGCTGTATCCTCATTTTTGTACAGCTACTGACACTGCCAATGTACAAGTTGTCTTCCAATCTGTGATGGAAATGGTCATTTCCGCCAACTTAGGGCAGGTAACGCTACTTTAACTATATTGTCATGAATAAGTTCATAGAAACTCGTTGACTCGTTTTTATCAGTTTCTTGTCATAGAATGCCATATTTGCCTGAATCGGCTAACATGGGAACTTTTAGATAAGTTCTATATTGTTGAGGCGGATT